AACAGTTTCATCATTTTCTATTTTCTCTCTTTCTTTCATTCTGTATGTTTGTTTCATTCTATTTCCTTCTGTAGCAGTGCAAAGTGGAAACGTATTATTGTTATCATTATTAATGGCGTGGGCATAACGGCATTCTTTTCTCCCCTATTCGATACAAAATAAAATACAATTTAATTAAAATGTTAATCAAGAAAGAAAACGTATCATACTCTGAGATTGATATCATTGTTTAATATTTTACCGAGTAGAAATTCCATATAAATGGTTCAAGCAAAATATATTTAAAAGAGTTGTGTAAATATTCCGATGTATGATTTAAGTATCGATATAAATTTTCCTGTTTCTTTCGAGATTGATTCTTTACAATTGAGGTTTCATACCTCACTTTCTTTATTATAAGAGCAAAGTTAATTTAGCTAGCAAAACATTCTCTTCCCAAGAAAAATGTTTTTCATTTATTCTACGTTTCGATATTATTCCAAGGATTTCCTTCAGGAATAAATAAAAAATGTAATTCATACTTAATTTATAAAAGCCAAAAACAGAGTTAAGAATAATACAAGATTATATAAAACATTTTGAAACCATTTTTTACTACGGTGTTATAGAATGTTAAAGACCATTAAACTTTGTATTTAAAATGTTTTCATATCTTTTCGGATTTCAGAGATATTATCAGAAATATAAATAACCAGAATTATTTCGAAGGGGTGTTTACACCGTTAAAATCATTTCTGGGCAAAAATAGAAAACAGCATTGCGATTAATTTTCCATGATACTGGAATTTCTGCAAAAATTCAAATTTGTTAACATGTACGTACATACATATCAATCGCTGAACTTCCCTTCTCAGTTTCCCCCGTTCGTCCATAATCTGTTTCGAATAAACTAGCAGGCCACAATTCACTCCTCTTCTATCACGCATCTCAACACAGCTATACCACGTTAATTTATGACTTAGATAGCGCAGCTTTGAATCATAGCCATGCTAGAAACAGAACGTAGCGTCGATAGGATCACGACTTGCGTCGCATACCGGCTCTAGCGCGAAATGTTTGGAGAATCACGATTCAGGGAGCGCGCGTACTAGAAATTATAAGAATTTAAAATTCACATTAAAAATTCGGAGAGACAGATTCTTATAATTTCAACTTTGAGGGCTTATAACTTTATAGCGGTTAGACTTATGAGATTTTTACGAGAGTCTTTTTTAGGTGAGCATTCGATTTCCTATACATATAAGAATGTACCATCTCATAATATTTTAGTTATTTCATTCTCGAAATATAAAAATCAGAATGCAGGAAACTCTCTTTTCTACATATTTCAAGTTAGAACTGACACTTTTAAGGAATTTTAATTATTTCGAAGCATTTAAGACCCAGGAAGCATTAATATTTGAAAGTTACCCATTTCAGAACCGTCATAACTTTTCAATTTTTATTTTCGAAATTAACCGTCCTATGAATAAACTGTAAATATAAAAAAGTTTCGTGCCATCATCCCTTATAAGCTGATATTTTTTATAAATTAATTTAACGAACATAAACATTTCTCTGAGCCCATTTCTCGAGAGTGTATTTATTATATCTGCCCTTCGCAATCAAAGCGTTAATATTCATCTCTCAAGAGGCGAAAAAATACATATTTTAACCTTGACAAATAATTCTTGAATTTTTGACTGTGACGGCTGCATGTAGCCCTTATGGAATCATCGTGTCTTATTTCGTGTCACGTAAAATTCGACGTCGCACTCTTTTCAGAACCACCCTAAGACTAGGTGTATCCTATTAATTTACTTTTCGTTCGGGACAGGGTCTTATTATTTTTAATTTCAGCCAAGAGATATCGTTTCCCAGACTACAGCGAGATCGGTTCGTGAATTCTCGTTTTCTACCAACAAACCAGCGCAGCGTTTAAACTTTGATCCACCCTGCTATCTCCGACGGTCTTCCTGCTTTTTACATTAGGACGTGATTAAGACTGAAACTGGGAGGGCTTCTAAGCCGCCATCGCAGGAAGCCACCGATCTTAAGTATTTACGGGGAGAGATCCCACCGCGGCGCGGGGCCAACTCGAGCGTGGAGTTCAATCATCCGGACGTTAAGACTTCCAAGTCTCAAAGGGGCTGCGCGATACTGACCGAAACAATCGGGAGAGGGATAAAAATTGCGAGTCGAAGAGCCAGCGGAGCAACATTGTGAAACTTCACCGCTAAAAAGAACGTCGGATTAAAGTCGAAGATTAAGGACAGCTCGCGGGAAGCCCTTTTCTAAAATACCGCCTCGCTGGTCCCCGTGTAATTACTCGACGGAACTCCCCATATGCTACATCCAGCAACTACGTGCGTTTAATGTGATCGTTTAACCTCGCCGCCGCTGTCTCGAGTAAATCCCAACTATTACTACGAATTTATGGCAGATCGTGGTAATTAATAGAGTCGCGATAAAGCGGTGGCCCAAGTCAACCCAGAGCCGCGCAGGAAGAGCTATCTCACACTTCTGATTCTGGCCTGCTCGGTCTGCATGACAGGATGCAGACGTGTCGCCGAGAAATTCCATATGCATGAGTGGGCCGTGTACTGGGTGACCAAAGTGTCACGTCCGACTTATCCAGAAACGCGCGACAGAGCAATAAACGTGTAAACGATCCTCCGAGTGGTTGTTTAGCGAATCAGTGGCCATGATGGAATTGCAGATGCTCGCAAATGGAGGATCTTTGATGGTCTGTCGACTCCCGTGACGCTCCTCAGCTGTAGCGAGAGAAGTTTATTATCTATAATATGTAATCCTCGCGCGATGGCTTGGGTACGAAGACAGTAAACGAATAATAATGCGACAGAGTCGTAGGAGGTTATACAGGGTTAGAAATTTAAAACAGGCCACTTGAATGATTCGCTTAGTTTTAGCGATAGAAAAAAAAGTGTCGAACAAGAGTTATTTGATTTCGGGCACGTAACGTGGCGCCAATAACTTTTTAATCGGTGGAAGCTTAGAGGAGATTGAAAAAGCGACTAAGAGCATTTGTATAAGAAAGTAAGATGTGGGAACATATTTGGTATGACATGGCGCAATCTAAGATAAACAAGGAAAATTGCAAATTGAGAGACAGAAACTATCAATGCATATCTATGACTGTTTCACACATTATCACATATTAGAATAGTATAAAATTTTGATTTCTGCCGTAAATATGTTCCTTAATGTCTAAAGATTCATATAAGCTCAAGTATCATTTCAGTAAGCTACATATATGCTTTATAAGTTGCATTATGTAATACGACATGATTCCTGTTTGCACATTCTGTAACGAAATGGTTCCGAGTGCAAAGGGTTAAATTTCAATAAAATTGTTCGAAAAAAAGAATGTACATCAAAATTTGTACCTCTTCTTACGAATTTTGAACGGTTTCACTCGCTAAATATAGAAACACGTCAATATCAAAAATTTCATGTCAAATATCTTTCGATGCTCCATACGCGTAAAAAATGTCAAACAAATCAGGTGCGGACACCGAGAAGATTTCTTGAAAGAAGGTCTTGGATGACTCCAAGGAGATTCAGAAGAAATACGATAGCCTGTAGGTGTAGAACCGTGTGTTTTACTTTCAAGCGATACATACCACTGAACGCCATCCTTTGTTTCGTCTCTCTAAATTCTCACACTCTGGCAAGCACGTCTTATCCGGGAGAAGGAACAAGGGTCTCCTCGAATGCTTTATGCTTCCAGACAAAACGCTTTTGAAAAGTTTACACGATGGTCCTTGTCAGTTCTCGACGTGCTTGTAGTCACGAAGGAACGATACCGGTAGCCCGTAGAAGCCGATTACTTAGGCTCACCCGGTGTATTATCTGCGTGAGAGATACCTAAGAGGAGAGGGTTTTGTATCCACCACTCGCCACGATCTTCACGTACACGCCATTCAAATTTTATGAGACGGGGTGCACGGTTTATTGTTAATATTCCACTTAATAGCTCTCACAAAAGAGAATTTCTGATGTTTCGGGCGTTTTCCACGCACGCGATAACAGAATCTCACGGAATACATAATGCGAAGGCATCGTTAGTAAAAAATTATATATTAAGTTGCCCAAAAAGTTCGTACAGATTTTAACGCCTTATCTTAAAAAAAGGTATAAGGTTCGAAAGAGCCCATATAATATGACTATTTTTTTTTCTTTTGTCCAAATGCTAAGGGTGTGTTAAAGTCATCGCCATTTTTTTTAAATGGAACCATAGGATTTCTTTGGCATATCATGAAAGTTGACATCGAGACGAATCCATCGACCTGCAATACTTGGTCATTTGTTGTAACATAAATTGTCCTTAAATTGGAGTTTGTATTCAGTAGATGTAACACAGAAAGAAAAAAAGAAGATGCTCTATCCTTGTTCGACCGATTGACGGACTGATTGCGAAGCATTTTGAGAAGTTAATGGAAATAGAACCTACACAACAACGTGAACCCCACTCAAACGCGCTCTCAAACTGCGCCGGTCAGCGAAATTGTCGCTACAAGTTGATTCGTCTATAAATTTCATTAACCATTTCTTCGAAAATGATTTAATGTTTGCAGAAAATGAAGATAAAGCATACCATATATTTTATGCATGTGATAAGATCGCAATCACATTTACATGTTTCCATCCATTTTTGACAACATTATCATCTATTTTGAAGAACGTTTTTTGCTCTTTCTTTGTCCAAGTGTAATGCGCATCGTCGACCCGTGTTTCCGTCTCCTCTAAAAAAAGTTGAAAAAGAAAACACCGCGGAGGATCGGGCGAAATAAGAAGAGCTTGAACAAATGTTTTCAATACGTTGCATAAATCGCGTGTTTCTCCGTAAATTGAAATGGAAATGCATATAACCGTACGATATGAAAGCGGCTTTATTGTTCCATTCTTATTCTAGTGACGTTTTCATGGCGCCTTTCTACATTTATATCGCGAACGACGAGTGCGCCATCGGTTTCGAACGATTATTTCTTTTTAACTTGGTCCGTTCTTTCTCCTTACAGATGCCATCGTCCTAGAGATAGTCTCTTCTCCTGGAGTTCAGGCTTCGACAACTTTACGGGATTCGTCAATTGGGGCTTCCTTTTGTTGTGCATCGGTGGAATCCGTTTGCTCCTAGAAAATTTCATAAAGTGAGTATGTCATGAGTCTTGATAAAACCGCATTCTCATCAAAATGCTATCGCTCGCGATATGTGATCTGTTTCGTTGAGAAACAAATGGCGAGGAATGCAAACAACAACAAAAACAACGCTCTAGGAATGAAAACATTATTATATGGATAATTCTTATTATAATTAACTACTTATGTTAAACTAGATCTTCAGGTAACGTGTACCATTTATGCTACACGGAGATACATTTATTTAATGCACTGAAAACATACATATATTTTATGAAAAATTTAATTTTAGAAAATATATTTCCACGCAAAGAATGAGGTATTACATATTGAAAATACAGTATAGAACAGAACAAAACAAACTAATTACGTATAGATTGATGATGTAATGAATGATTGCGTGATAATAGGATATATCAATCTTTAATTAAAACATCAAATGATCTGAACGACAAGTCGGGTAAAAAAACAAACATGCACGTCGAATTGAGTACTCTCCTCCTTTTCGAAGTCGGTTAAAAACGACTTGGTAGGACCGTGTTGACAAAATGAATGTAGAAATGCTGCGCGCGACGCTTGAACATCGTCAATTTTGTTCGTATAAATAAAATACCTCGTTATGGGGTCGTATCTCTCGAAAGCTGATGGGAATACACCATAATCCGGCGAGGTAGTGATTTATAGGCGAGGAAACGGGTCGCGAGAAGAAATCGAAATGCCCTCGAATCTCATCGTTCCGTTATTTGTGGCAATTTACTTGACGTGTGTCGTCGTAATTTATCAAAGAAAAGAGAAATCGCTATCATCCTGCGAGACCGACGCAATGCCAACGTCTCCAACCTCCGCAAAGGTACTACGAGGTTGAGTGTTCGATGAGTCCCTCGAGCATTTTTTCGAGTCTACTCACGGTAGGGGTTAAACCTCTCCATCATACGCCTACGTCATAGTCTGAGCTTGAAAAAAACGTGTAAGAAAGATCCTAGATGTGGACGATTCTGCTCGAGTCTCGGATAATATCACGAGGAGAACATAAAGTATACATTTTTCATGTTTAATTGAACATAAAATAGCGTCGGATTGATTGGACGATGTACATCTAATAGACAAACTAAAGAAACACTTGCGCATGAGAGGAGTACGTTGAGAAGAATTTCCCAAAAATACTTACTCGTCAAAGGGTTAATAACAGCATTGATAACGTTAACGTCGGCCTTGGCAGCTTCGCCAAGCTGTCATAGGACGGTAGGCGGAAGAAGGAAAGGGCACACTAACGTGAAAAGGAATCAAGTCCAGGAAACGAAATTTTGATGAAGTAGAAAAACCCGTTTGAGCGATAAATGAATTTCACTTGATTAGGGAATCGATTGTCCGAGTAAAACTTTTCGCGCTGATTCGGACGAATCGGCTTTCGCGAGAGTGAGGAATTTTTCCATGGGAAACTAGAGCTGGTGAGGCATGGCAGCCGAAGCGACGGAAACAAAAAGGGGAATAATCGGATCGATAGTGAAAAATAAGATTCGTCTGTCATTCCAGGTACAATGTAGAATTCCACGGTGTGTAAGCATATTAATGGTAATTCTCATTGGAAATCAAAGTCACCGTGACAGTCTAGTCTACGTTGATAACTGCATCATTATCAATAGCCGTTGCGATACCGTTGGAACCTTTGTGCTAACTCTAAAGGATAGCGTCGGATATGTGTGCGTGCGCGCGTTAATGATGTCAGCGGGTATAATTCAAGCTAGCTAATATGTCAGTACCAATCGCAGTTAATGTATTCCTACAGTCAATAGAATCTAGTTATCGCGGCTAAATTTCTCATTAATTATTCCATCGATTTTCATGTCTTCGACATCGTCCAATTCGTATACCGCGAATTTATACGAAATCGTGGTCGGAAGTTGGAAACGAACGAGTTACAAATTTTCCAGATTTAATTAAAATTGACTTTTTTGGTTAATCTTAAGTGGTAACTTTGTGTATTTTTTTAGTTTTTAAATTATACTGTGAATTTCTTGAAAATCAATGAAGTTAATTATTCCAATATTCACTCGTCTCTCCGGTTCGTAACATATTTATTTCAATTTAAACATCTCAAAAAACATGTTGAGAGCATTTTTAAAAGCATTTATTAATAAACAGTTTTATACATTAATTTAAATCACGAATGATTATTATCAATTGATAAAATTTTGCATCCAGCGAGTGAAATACATTTAAAATATAAATGTCTTTAAATGGACAAAATTCAAATTGAATATTATTAAATTCGGTATATTTATAACATCGGTATTATTCGTTAGCTGCTATGAAAAAAATATACATGTCGAATTGAGTAACCTTCTCCTTCCTTTCCTATTTAATAAAGCATAATGAAAATGTGAAATAAATTAATCGTATAGTTCCTTTATAAACAATTCCTGAAAATACTTCTCCCTTTGGGCACGTTACAATTTGTGTGCCCTCTGAATTTCCCGCGCCAAGTAGAAGACTACGCCCTCCTTTCTTTCAATCCGATTAAAATTAATAGAGTGTTCTCAATTCGATCCGTTTCTACGAAAGATTTTGCTACACCAAGGGACGTCCTCTACCAATTTCGTTTCCCTTCGAATCGAGAAGGGCAAAGTACAAGCTCGACCCATGAATAATTTCAACGAGATTTTTATCGCCGTTGTAAACTTTCGGCCTCGCGTCCAGCGCGGCGGCTCCTGGGGGCGCGTAACAGAAATTTATCACGCTCGTTAAGCGTGGAAAAACTTTCGAAAGAAACTTTCGCGACGTAATTGCTCAGGGTAGTCTCGAAGCGTTTCTGAAACAAACGCGGCTCCGCGGGCGGGTCACTCGAAAGCCCGTCGAACGAACGTAGGCGTAGGAAGTGATTCCATGCGTGACCAGCACCGAGAATTGTTCTCGAGACCGCGAACAGTCGGATAGATTATTCATCGATCGTTGAACAGGCAGCTCCGATTAACTTTTTCCGCTATTTTTGATACTTTCGTATTAATATTTGGGGAACGATTATGTTACCGCCTCGTGAAAGTGTTTTCGGTCAGTTTCCTCCTATTAGATTGCTGCGAAGATTATTGTAGTTATTTGTGTAAAATATAGAGTTGAAATTCTTGCCGTATCAATTTTGTTTACCTACATTTTTTCGTGCAGAGAGTCGGTTTAATTATTCAAACACCATGGTACTTATATAAAGATTGCTGTGTCTATTTATTTCATATTTGTTCCGTTGGAATTCCTCGTGCGTCATACGTCGTGCGTCATTGGTAACATATGTGCTAATAGCGCACTAAAAGAGATATTGATACTCGCAATGATATCAACGATGTCTATTATGTTCGATGTCTATTATGCTTTTTTTAGTGAGAAATAATAATCTGTTATCATTGATACTCCGATAAAGTAAAGAATGTAATCCTACACTAAAACCCATGACATTTCAGTTTTAAGTAGTGACGTTTATCAATAAAACTACACGAATTATCTGAAAAAGCCAGTTCAAATACTACAACTCCATCGTATCTTTTTGTATTATGGTAACATATGTAGGACTGTAACTAATTTCCGTTAAACCAATTAATCCGTCCATTTAATTTCAACGTGGCGATTGGATTTACAAGAAATCCATTCTAGCGTCGAGTGGGTGTAAGTCGCGCTTCGGGTCGTCGAATCACGGGAATAGGACGAAACAGGCGACGCGATTTTATGGCAATCGAGATTAATCGACGCGCAGAAGCGCAGAGCTGGGAAATCAGAGACGCGGCGGTGGTTGAAGAGACACGCCGCGCCGTTAAGAAAGTAGGTGGATTGTTCTACCTTGCGAAGTGAAAAAAAGTAGAAAGAGGGAGCTCAATTAATCGGTCTCTCGGCGAAAGGCTCTCCATCGATAAAAGTCCGCGCTAAGGTTTGGAGACAGGCTGGGTTATATCGAAGTTTCCCCCTCCCCCGGCTACCATCTTTATCCTTTTTCGCAGCTTCGTTCGGCGAAACTTTTCGAAAGGTTCACGATTCGCTCATAATTTATGCACTTGGACTGAAACTGTACGATGCCTTGCGCAAATCTTAATGGACCGAGTTTACTGTGAAGAAGGATCGAGAAACTGTAGCGAGGAATCAAAGACGTAGCAGGCGCCGATAAATTGAAAGTATTAAAGTATGCTCGAAACGGGAGCCATAGAGTTTCTCGCGGAAACGCTCGAGAACTTTTATGAATTAAAGATTCAATCACGAAAAGGATCTCTACTTTTTTCTAATAACTTTTACAGTGTACAGATTGATTACGTAATGGTAGGAAATATTTTAACACGAATTTTGTTAAAACATTTGTTGCGAAGGAGTACGTTGACATCTGAATGAATGGATCTAAGGACATTTAAGAACCTTGTGTATTTATAAACCTATTTTAATGTATAACTTAAAAATTCTCTTAGTTTGTTATATGTGTCGACTGGAGATAAATACTATGTAAAGCTCGTTTATGTTAGCCCGAGATGTTTAATTAAGCATGGTCCAGATGAGGCGACTTGAAACAGGTAGCGTTCAGTCAGTATTCAGAATGAAGTGATAACAAACTTTTATTTAATAAAATTAATGTTTCATCTCTTTATTATACCCCATTTTCAATAGAGCTACAAAGGGTTAATACGAGTTTGTATATTCTGTATGAGAACAAATACCCTTGAACAGACCGAGGGAAAGGTATCGGTTCGCGATAATGTTTCACCGTTACTTTTCGAGGCCGTTTCGCAGGCTTCGTACTCGTACGGGCGATTACAGCGTCCGGCTTTAAAAATTTTCAGCGATTCGATATCGGGCCGGCGCGACGCCGACGCCGACGCGTCGCGGAGAGACAGCCGAATCCGTCGTGTCACGTTCATCCCTGTCGTTCTATTTTGCTCGCGATTTTCGCAAGGATTCACGTCATGCCGAGAAATAAAACTCGTCCACCGTTCATCCGGATTTACGCGAGCTATTATAGTCAGAGAATCCTGGAAACTGCACCGTTGCTCGGTAATACCAAGCGAAAAATGGCATTAACGTTTCCGGCATCGCGATAGTTTCGATGGATATTGTAACGTTCCAAGTGTGTGTTGGTATCATTGTTTTATTTTATATACCAGTGGCGGTCAAATTTTACTCGCGATAGAAATTATGCAAGACGTTACCAAATATGTGGAATCTTTTTTCAGGATCAAATCTTCATACCAAAATGAATCGAAAAGTCCTTTACCATTTTGTGATCCGAGGCTTCGTTGTCAAGATATAAACAGTTGAAATTTGCAAGTGTAACTTCCGGCGCGGCCCGCGCTGTTTGAAATGCCATCCACCCTGCTTTACTTCGACCTGTATGCATAAACCATAGAACATTCTTCACATCTATATTACACACATACACTACAGATTGCATAAACGTTTGCGAGCATTTTCATGCGATAGTGAGAACCATTCCTTTAATTGTCATAAATTGTATCAGAGTTTTTAATGTTAGGAGAAATTCTCTTTGAAACCGTAACGAGACCGTTTGAAAAATTCGCCACCGCGTTTCCACTGTTTCCAGTAACGGGTTAATAGTATTACGAGACATCGTGAACGTGCTTTTGAATCTAATTGAGGATATTGTTCTCGGCTGTTTACAGTGAGCTGCATGCACATTCCGCCCAGCACTCCAATCCGATTAACGATACCGCGGAAAGTGATTTAAACTGACAGATTGCACGGTAAACCTTTGTACACGGTAATCGGATTGCGCCAATTACAGTATGAACTTGAAACTCCATTAGATAATCGGGCCGCTGGACAAAATTTAGGTCATCGGCTTACACCCCTGAACGAGGTTTTAAATCGTATTAATGATGCCGCGGACGGCCATACAGGTCACCGATCTTTCGCTTTGAGCATGCTTTTGTAATGGTAAGATCGTTCGATTCGATCGTTCGGAACGCACTGTTTCTGTCCCTTTCTCTCTCTGGAATCGGCTGATTCGAAACGAGCATTACGTGCCATGAATAGTATCGATACATTATTAATTCGATCACTGAAGAAATGTTGTCGTTCGAGTCCGTTGCGGTATCCATCTGGTCGGTGCTATCGGTAAATATTTCATAAGTACTATTTACGTTATCGAAGACACTTGAGATTTAACATTGATCATGATACATATGTACTATTATAGAAATAGAAATGTTTCATAATTCATAATATTTACTTCGAAAGTACTAGGAAGGAAGTTGAATCTTAAATGGGTTCCTAGCCATGTTCGAATTTCCGGAAATGAAAACGCTCAGCTAGCAATCAAAGAAGCCGTTAACGTTCAACCGATCAGCCCAAGTGATTTGCTGATGGACGAAATGGACGAAATGGAATAAAACTAAAATTGAAATCTCCGTTGGAAGCAAAATAAAAGAGAACAGCTCCGTCTCGTATAAAAAGAATCACCGAAAGTTTCTTCAAAAACTGTAAAACGTCTTTTATTTTGTTGAGGAGGGACCATGTCACCGTAACAAGAATTACAATATAAAATTAGTATAGTTTTTTGCTGTGGTGGTTCGGAGTAGACATACGATCGCAAAGGAACGTTAAGCGTAATAACGTAAACTTGTTTAACACCTGCTGAAACTAGACGAACGCTTCCCTCGTCATTTATTAATATTTAACGCAAACCTTGAACAGTCGCGTTTTTTTTTTTGCCGCAACTTTCCATATTGGCGCCATAACTCTTTCAATCTGAAGTTTTCAAGCTCTCACTCCAACTTTCTATCATCTCACTCTTGCCTTGCTTGTGGCGTACGACGCCCCTTTTCCGTTCGCCTTCTATCCATCTCCGTTCTTCTTTTCGGTCGACATGGAATTGGGGATTTTATCGTGACTGCTGTATTAATGAACTTCGGCGAACGAAGAACCGGCGCGGATTTAACGGGTGTGCCCGGATCAAAGCGGCTATTCTCGTCTAGGGAAGAAATTTAATATCGTTTTCGCTCACGCCTTGGATCGATGAGTTTCGATACTTTCGATGGATGCGACATCCTTTCGTGTCCTTGCCGATTTAGTTGCTCCTGTTGTCAGACTTATCTGAAATCAACCGACACTGTGATCACTCAATCGCTGCGTTCTTCATTGACCCAATCAACCTCAGCACTTGGAAATCGTGGTGAACGTCTTTGAAACTCGGGAACAGGTTTATTACGCTAATACATACTTGTTACTTATTTCCATTTTTCTCGTCATAACCTTTTCTTACATGACTCCTACATTGACGTTTATTTGTAAGTATTGTAGTATACAAGCCTCCCATGTCCAAGAAGATGGAGTGAAACGAGAACACGTAGAGTGCGGGATTCGTCGCGTAGGAAAAGCGGTCGACTGCGGACCCGAGGATCGTGGATTCGAATCTCCGTGCCTTATTTTTCGTTTAGACACCTACAGTATCTTCTTACCGATACGAAGCCGTGCACGAACAACATCAGCGGATATACCCTTCCGGTCTCGCGACAGATTTTAATAGCTCGATATTCGCGGGATTTATGGCGCGGCGTCCTATCAATCCGAGTCAGCGGGAACGTTTGTTGCACACGGTCACCATCCACGAGGACAAACGGACTACATTCGCGGCCCACGAAAAGAAAGAAAAAAAAAAAAGAATATAAAGGTCGGGTAACCAACACTAATGGGTTCAGATCGAACGCGTCGGCTAACGATGATAAACGAGGCTTATAGGCGAAGTAATTAAAGTATTTGAAGTGGGTGCGGTTCGACACGAGCGACGGATATTTATTGGGAGCGTCGGTCCGTTTCATTCCATTTTTTTTTTTTATTTCCCTCTCCCCCACTCTCCTTCACAAACGCAATCAGTCACGTTGACGCAGTCCGCGATAATTGAAGAGCGAGCCGGAAAAATCAAACGCTTATAATTGATAGCTACTGTGGAAGTCTGCACACTCCACGCGCTAGCAAGCCAAAAGTGATTCGAAAGGGAACAGCAATTCCCATGTATTACTGCGCGGTAAATCACCCCGAGGGCGCTTCCCACACCCTCTATCGCGTCGCAGACGCGTGCATCTTTTGCGCAGTTTCACCGATTGAATTGTTAAACACTTTCGAATTTCACGCGATCATCGTTTGTCTCGAATTCGTGCTCGTGGAAAATAAAAAAATAAAGGTGTTGATGTCAACGGGATGTTTTGCTTTGAACGACTGAAAAATAGCCGACATCGAAACAACAATTTCCCATAACATTAAACAATGCCAAAATGACTTATTTGTATTTTTTTCTTTGATAATTGCCTCACAACAAATATTGAAATTTTATCGATCCAACACATCGATAACACACATCTCCCTTTTCTCATTATATTATAGAATGCGAATATATATTGTATATTTGTCAGCATCGATATTCATCATTTTCGTTCTTTGCCAAAAAGAATGGTCGAAGTATCTGAAAATAACAGAGGACCCACGCTCTACGTAATAAAGAACATTTTCCAATTTATTTCATCTTCGTGGCCCTCGAGACCTGTTTCATCCAAAGTTTGGTCCTAACCTTGCGACAATCTGACAGGGAATGCCGTATTTTTCCGCAAGGCGGCTCGACGGTGACTTGGAACAGAAATTGCGTTCATCGCCCTTCTTTTTTATATTTCAGAGACGAATGCGGCAGCGACGTTTTATTATTTGCCTGAAGAACAAAGAGATCACTTTTTATTTGCCCTCCCCTTCGTTTCTTTCTCCCCGCTCTTTTTCTAGGAGCCCGGTGAAGAGCATTGCATTGATGGCAGACGTTAATAACGACGCCTTTGCTTCTCGACCCGTGTTGCAGTGTAGAGACACCCGCTTAACGCGACTTGGAAGATATAGCTAGCAGAGAGACAAGGGTGCGATAATAACGGCTGGAGTGTTCTCTTTCTTTCCAAGTGTTTACTGGGTTTTTTTCCTTTTACTCTGCCATAGGTACGGAGTCAGGGTGGATCCAAGGCAATGGTTTCTGTTCCTCAGCGGCACATACGAGGGTGGCGAGGAATATCCGTCCGTTCTGCTCATCATCTGTAAGTTACTCTCCTGATTTTTAATCGTACACTGTTGAACATATTATGTTAGACTCGACACAAATCACATGTCCCAAACGGTCGACCAATATTTTTCTGTTAACTCACTATGAGCCCATGTAACCTTCAGGTCACATGCTAATACATTGACATTTACATGCACATGCTTTTTCTCTGTTGTATCCGCACGAATACGATGTCAGAACAATGAATGAAAAAGACAAATGCTTGTAACGAATATTTTCAAATTCTATTTACCTTTCACCGAACACACATCTACGGAAATAAATACATAAGTGGATAACGATCTAAATCGAAGCACGTCGCGAGGCATTAAAACGACAATGGACAGCGAGTAGTCCGCGTCTGAACGTAGGAGTAGAAAGAGGGTCGAAATTTACGCTCCGACGCAAACTCCGGCGTGCTAAATTTCGAGCTTTTAAAGTCGAGCTTAAACGACGCTTTAATGGGTTCGCGTTTAGTGATAAATTTGAATTTAACCGGACGCCCGAGGTCGTCGGTTATCTACAGGCCTGACCCTGTCCGCTGCGCCAGCGCCGTGTCTTTGAAATTCGTGTTAAAATAGAGAACGTGACGCTTTAAATACACATTGGAGAATTATGAGTATCTTTGAAATTTAACAAGTAATCGCGCGCCTTCGCGCGAGACGTTAACCGTGCTCGTTATTTCAAAACAGCCGCGTCCGTAGACGTTACGACACTAATTACTTTTACATTTATATTAGCACCTTTTGCTGGCGTACCTCGACACCGTTACCTTTTCAGAACGGATTAATGTATAAACATATAAATGAAGAAATACAATAAAATGTAACTCACTGTAGTATATAAATGACGAGATAAAATAAAATATAAATGATGCACGGTATATGATGTATACGTACGATATAAATAATAAAATATAATGAAACATAACACACATGTGTACAAATGATGCAAAATATATGAGTTATACGTATGACATCAGTAATTAAATGTAATAAAACATACCACACTTGTAGGATACGGGATCGACGGATTAGGCGGAAGTGAGGTAGTTGTTTCCTTTAAATAAAAACAAGAATATATTTAATATATGTCGATGGATAATACATAAATAGGTCTTTTTACACGTTGGTAGGTTGTCACGTACATTTGTTTGTATTAATATGTTAATAAGCGATTTTTTTAATTTCTGTGATTTTTTACCGTATCAAGTGTACATTGTTTAATATTTGTTCCTTCTTATTCTTATATAATTTTTAACGTTTATTTACAAAAACTTATTTCATTTGAATCGCCATTTTGATTTCGACCGATCGCCTATGTCGCTTTTATCGCGCTATCCTGCATACAAGTGCATAAATAGTTCAATATATTCAAGAAAATAAGATATAATAGAAAAGTACGATGTAATATACAATAGTACTCGCAAATTCGTTATATCCTCACCTGCTCGCAATGCCTTTCATTAAAGCGTTAAGTTTGTGATCGATAATTTGTTGGCGCTCTGTATATCGTCGCTAATTTTCGGCAACAACCGAGTGCGGAATTCTACTCGTTGTTGCCTCACTCGATTAACGATACAACGTTTCAGACACTTCGGTTATCGAAGTAACTTAAGCTTAAACACGACCTGACACAACAAGTAGCGGCAAGTGACCCACTAGAACCGTCCCGGTAGCTTGCGTCAATTTCTCAATACTCCTCAACTCTCAAAGCTAATTATCTTCAGCGATTAGGTTCCGAAATTAATTTCTCCGTGGAAACTTTCTCCCTCTGTGCCTTTACAAAGAACCTGTGGCCCCAATTTCGTGGGTCGATGGTTTCGACGAACACCTCGTGAACCCGCCGTTTAAATTTCGCTTGCATGCTTACACGTTAGTCCGGCTACTCAAGATTAAAGTACGCAGGGCGTTATGGAAATATTTTTATCACGCTGGTTGCGTGCATATGCATTTATTGGCTCGTTAGTGTAGAATATCTCAAAGGTAGTTGGATGAATACGTTGGCATAGTACAAAGTTGGCGTTGGATTAAACACGTGGAGCGTGTAAATAAGAAATTATTGTTCAGAATCGTATCAGCTACCCCTCATTTCCGGCATTACAGGAGTTCTGGGGCACCCTGTATTATCATTGTGACATATCGTTATACTGTCAGGTCGTCATATAATTGCATCGTCTATCGTCGTATTATCATATCGTCATAGTGTCACTTCATTATACCATTTCATCGTCAATTGTCATATTGCAATAACATCACATCATCACATCGTCATATCGTTACACTACAATTTAGTAACATCTCCACATCGTTACATCGTCATCGTTGTATCATATCACTATGAAACAAAACCAACTTGTCTACAGCATCGCAATCTTGCAGACTTCTCTCAAAAGCAATTCCACATTATACGCAAACAATTAGCCCCAGTAGCAATGTTTTTATAACACGATAGAATCAAAAGCGACTGGGCTAAACTAGGCGAAAACTGGCAGATTGTATTGTACGTAGAGGGTTCGCCGGCACGTATGAAGGGGCTGCGAATTACCAACGGAATGAGGTGGATAGTGGGGAAGGCTAGCTTGCATTATTTACACATGAGGGAAGGTAATGCTCATGGGGAAGTACGGTTAACAGCACTCATATTTTAGAATCTTCGCAGCGGCAGCCCTCGGCCCTTCTTTCCTTACTGCAGGACCTTAACTTCCCGCTCTCTTTTTATACCCTCAGCCCGTTCGTTCGAGCGAATGCACCCTACGGCAGTGTTCCTCGTATCCCGGTAGCCATGGCTCGCGCGTAATAATTTTCATGGCGGTCGGCCGAGATTGCTTTTTAAACGGCCCTCCCCTGCAGGATCTCTCGGCCTTCGCGGCTCGCTGTTTCGCGATTAGGGGATTAATTATTCCATGGACGGTACGAAGCAGAAATCGGGTCGTTTAACGGTGCGCCTCGTGATTTATTCGGTGCCGCGTTGATTAGCGCTTGACGTATTTCGCTGCGGTTTCATCTGGTATACGTCGGCCCCCTTGCCCATTATTTCTTTGAGTTTAATTAATTTCCTGCGAAATGGAAATTGAACGAGGGACCACTATAAAATTAATAAACTTCCAGCTTCGGACTTCCGCGCAGATGATAGTTTTCTCATTTACTTGCTATTCGAAAGTACAGAAGAGAGTAGACAGAGAAATATCCAAGTGAAGTAAAGATGTTGACTGTAAATTAATTCCAAACATTACCTTGAAAACCGAAATTTGTGTCTGTGAAAGAACGACTCGACAGACTCTCAACTGAAAAGGTGAAACACGGCTACGTAATTGTTTCGAAACAGCTTTCACGAGGCTAGTCAAGTCCCAGGGAATAAAACTTGGATGCATGTCGCGACGTTATGAAAAGTATAATTGAATTCCGTTCCGAAATTTCCAAATAATAAAACTGTCTTCGGCTTTGTATCCTTTTCTTTGAATTCGCACGTCCCCGGGGGGCGGAAACTGCGGAACTTTAGCTTGGGCGATGAAAGTAAAGGAAAACAGACGCACTTTCGCTAGCCTTCCATCCCGCGTATTTCGCTCGAAAGAAATGCTTATCCTGGAGCACCCATACCGAGCGTCCGTTTCCTCGTTTTGTGAAAGTTTCGACCAGGCAGCTTGCAGCAAACTTAAAGTTAACTGTAACTCAATGCTCACGGTCCTTGTGTGACGTAACAAGTCAAGAGCAACAGCTCTGACATCTTGCGAGCTACACTTCTGGACGAAAAAGGTCTATCATTAACCCTTTGACTGCGAACGGCGTATATATATATACGCCCACGAGAAATGTGCTCAGAGAAATGTTTCTAATCGTTAAATCAATTTAAAAGAAATATCAGCTTGTAGGGGATGATGAGACGAAACATTTTTATATTTACAGTTTACTATATTCGTAGAAGGATTAGTTTAAAAAATTAAAATTGAAAAGTTACAAGTTCGTTGCGTAAAATCGGGGAAAGGAAATATTGGCGCGGTTTAAGTGAAACCGGAAGATACGGTAAACGAACAGAGACAAATTGATGTTCGGAATCAATAATCCTCTCTCGGTTTTCGAATTCATTCGAGGGGTTGTACGGATAACCTACATTTGCGGGGGAACGGTGATATCGAGTGTAGCCTGTAGGCAAAATATTCAAGTAATTATCAGCGATATCAGATTTCTACCGAAAAGGGAGGCGAATTAATGCTATTGATGTATTGCATTCTGAAATACGAATCGTATCGAATGATTTCACTTTTAAACATAATTTTATTATTTTTCGGTTGGGGAAGGATGTGAAATTCGTTATTGCCACACGCACAGTATTATTCGATTAAAGTTTGATATAATTTAATATAAGTGGCGATTTCCTGCTGCAAACAAATCGCTTTGCGTAGGCAAGTCGCGTTAGATAATCGAAGATCCAACAGACTCTAACAACACGAAGTCGACAGGCGTTTCTGACAAGCATGCTATTTAACTGAACGCGCCGCACACGGTAGGTATTGAACCGGGTGCGCAGCTGGCAAATGCGTGAAAGGCTTTCCACCGGCGCGATCTCGCATTTAATTCGATTATTATAGGCTGGTTCGTGGAATAGGCGGTGGATTACGTGATTCATACGTGGATTTACGGACCGTTCTTCCGTTTTCCCCTCCCATCGCGTGAAAATCTCTATCCATTTGTATATTATATGACAAGCGCGAAGACGATAACCAAAAGTTTTCAACTATTCTGATATATTTAGACCTGTTCCAATACCACCTTCCGAAAATCGACGCGCGTACAATCCGATCCTTTGACTGCACAAAATCAGAAAAATTGCCTCGAAACGGGCATAAAATAAAAAAAGTACTCCTTTAAGTGCAGTTACACCCTATGCTCTCCAAGTTTTGTACCCGTTTCTCAGTACCCTGTACGGAAGCAAACTCGTCAGCGAACTGGCGAGCACTTTTCATCGCCGTCAATATTGGCGTTGCGGGTTTTTTTC